CACACAGAGAGCTGTTAATGCCAACATTGACATCTTACACATATAACGTACACACAACTCATGTCACATAGAGCTGTCTCTGAATGACTGCTTAATGTCGAAATACACAGTGCAAAAATAGGAGTGTATTATACCCCAAAATAGCACAACTTCCCCCCAGCTTTTCCCCATCCAAGTTCATGGACTATGCATTTCAACAGGATTCACTACCTCAGCCAGGAGCTCTAAGTCTGTTGAGTCTGAAAGTCTTGATAAGCCTCATACCTGAACCCTTGAGTAGCTTGACAGATGCTGAGAGCGTGCTTCCTCCTTTCCCGAATGCTCCTTAGCTTCAGGCATAACATCAGCACTTCTGTGATGGTGATGGTGGGTCTTCTGATCATGGTGGCCTTCCCTTTTCCTGGCTTCTGTGTCAAACAAGACGTGGGTTAGCCTGTCCAGATAGTTCTCCAGCTCTTCCTGGGTGTGCTCCAGTTGTTTGCCGACATTACTGGGCAAAAAGGAAGAGGATGGTGGTGGGCTTTTGCTTTCCATCTCCTTCTTAGCCTCTTCCACATGTGGGTTATGCCTCATTAGAAGAAGCACTATGATAAGCAAGACCAGGCAGAGATACACAACCCAGACTTCTTCCATCTTTGTGGTGAGATACCAAGGAGCTAGTAGTGCCTGTTGATGTGCTCAAAGCAAAGAAGACAGATGGGCCAAATACAGTAGGTGGTCAGCGCTTCCCAGCTGTCGGCATCCACGGGAAGGACTGTTGCCAGTAATCAAAGCACTGTGGTGGCTGATGTCAAAGTTCAATTTTCTAAAGCAGTATAGCTTACAAACCCTTCCTGCAGTTCTAAATATGAAAGCAGCACAAACAGTGAGCAGCAAAAAAATTTAAGCAAAGAAAATAAAACAACTTCGTCCTTACAGTAAAATGACTTCAGCAGAAAGAAACAAGATCATCTGTCAGAGGTCCATATGATCTTAAAATAGCAGTATCTCTCCTCCTTTTTTGTTAAGAAACTGCAGGTTCAATGCTTACTACTCTTCAAATAACCTTCCTTCTGTTATAGTGTTCAAATTCCTGTCTTGCTTGAAGTGGTAAGCTTTTCTTCTTTCTAATTCAAAGAAAAGATAAGTTAGGATTGGGGTTTTCCTCCCCAAATAGAATATTTTATCCTTTAGGGGTTATCAGATGCCGAGTCCACAGTCTACCCTCAGCACTCTTTAAAAAAAAAAAATTAAGTGGCAGAAGGGAATATTAGTCACCCGA